GTATATATTGTATATTATATTAAAGGTAATAATTATAAAAAAACGTTAATTAAAATTATTTAAAGCCAAATTGTTTAATGCTATGCTGTTAGTGTTGTTTAATTTAGGTAGTTTCTTTCTAAATAGTTGTTATTGTTGTTGGCTACACTTTCGTGTTGGATGGCTTGGACGCTGGTGCTCTGGCGCACGCTGTTATGTTGGTGGTAGATGTTTGCGTCTTTTCAGTTAATGGTTTAGTGTTACGAATGTTGTTGATGTTGCTGAGATTACCGATGGCAATGCCGGGATCGCTACTGGTTTTTGTTTGCGTTATAATTTTCGTTTGTTGTTTTTGTTGATTTGGTTTTTGTGGTATTGTGGTAGTACTTATTGTGGTAGTAGTACAGATATTGGTTTTAGTTTTTGGCATTATGGTAGTAGTTGTGGTAGTTGTTGTTGTATTAGGAAAGCTGCGTTTACTATTAAGTAGCGCATGCGCTTTAGGTATACGCAAGCCCACTGCAAACAATAATAAAAACAAAAAACAAATGTAAATATAAAATCAAAAGAATAATGGCAAATCAAAGAATTAGAACATAAAAGGAAAGCGGGGCGAAATTTAATAAAATCAAATATTATTTTATAAAATTATTATTTATTTTATATTTAATTATTAAAAAAATATATAATATTCATTAAATTTTTATATTAGTTAGGACGTTTTGCGTATTAGCTAGAGGAGAAAAAACTTTTTAACGGTAAATGGCACGCATTAGTATTAGAATTTCACACAATCGCTTAGTAAAAAGAGGCTTTAACAACTAGTAAAATATTATATATTGAAATTGAAAAAAACGCACAACTTCTAGCAAATGTATGAGCTATGTATGCACAAAGTTTAACAATTAGTATTGAACAATATTATATTAACATCATAAAAAATAGTCGTATTCAAAGTTTTGGACATTTTTTCTATTGTTTTAGTAGTGATTTTATATAATTCATTATATACCAGCTTCATTACGCTTAATACAATTTGTCATTGTCAATTCGTTTCATTTATTTTCAGCTTAACAATTTGTAAATTATGCAAAAACACTTAATTGCCACACAATTAACAGTTTTCAGTGGCAAGCAACGACACATAAACAAGTTGAAAATAAAAGATTTATGCTATTTTTCAAAAATTTTGAGTTCAAAATAATTTGAAAAAAAAAATTATGTATATGGTTTGCAAATAGTTTTTGGTATATGTATGCGTATCAACAAATTGCATTCAAATATGTATAAAGGTATATATATATATATAATTCAATTTTCAAAAAAAGCCCAGAACTCAGAAATTTGTTTTGTTATATTTATTTCGTTTACATTATGTATTAGAAGTGTTGTTGTTTGTTTTTAATGCTTGAGATGATAGATTTTTCAATTAATTTCATGTAATTTAGTATTAAAAAACAGCAAGTGTACAAAAAATGTCTCAATGAAAAGTTAAAGTTTTGAAAAAAACACATTATTTTGTTAGTATCAGTTAAAGTATAAATTCTTTGTGGCTAACTTTTTACAGAACGTTGCATAAGCATTTATAATAATATAGATACAGTATAAAAAATTTGTTTTGCGTTTTGAAATTTGAAAAGTTGGCGGTTTCGGAAAAACATAAAATTTTTAAATTTGTAAAAACAACTAAATTAAAATTTCTTTCTAACTTTTGACACAATGGTACATAAGTATTAATATATTTAATGGATAAAGCAATATTTCCGGTTTGAAATTTCAAAAATATTGTTCCAAAATGCTTAGTATGAGAATAGTTACAAAAAGCAGCAATTTTTTTTAGGATTCTTCTGATTTTAAGCACTTGCAAAATTAAAATTACAACATTATTTTTTTTTTTCGCACTATTTAAAAAGTCGCAGTTTAGTTTAGCAATTGCCTATCGTTTTCGAAAATTTCTCTTGCCTTTTAGGTTATGTTTTAAGACGCTATAAGCAAAAATTTAACAAATCTTAATTTTTACAAATTTAATTTATATCTAATGTCAAATAATTTTTTTTTGTTTCGTAAATAAAATATAAGGTTTATATGAAATTTTGTATACTAAAATACTTTTTTAATTTTTTAAATAAAGTTTTTTAGAATCCAAAATGACCAAAAAGGAATTCGAAATTTTAAATAAAAATATTTTATGTATTTTTTAAGTTCTATCATATTTCACCTCTATATTGATAAACAATTTGACATCTATCAAATCAGTTTCTACGACTTTTTAGTAAACTAATAGCCCTCAAATTTATATTTTTATATTTCAAACCGAGCACTTTTTGACACTTTACAACAATTTCCAAGCGCAAACATGTGTATAACCAAGAGTAATAAAAAAAAACGATTTAATATCAAAATTGGTCAACAAATAAAATTATAAACGGACTGCAGCTGTTAGTGTTTGTAAAACGTAACGTTGTGGTTAATGCAATAGTTAAAAATATTAAAGTAAAAAAAAACAAATTTAAGGTAGCGGGGCCATTGCAAATTTACAAGTTGTTCCATAAATAGGCAGAAACTTTTAGATATATGTATATACAATATAATATTTGTATAATCAATTTTTTGTTTTTGTTCTTTTTAATTTATTTACACATTTCTTTTGGTTGCACGCATTCAACGGCGGCGCGCTGTTGCACTGGCACCATGTGTGTTTTTGTTTTTGCTGTTTAACTGCACGAAATCTAAAGAAATAGTGATACCAAATAATAACAAAAAACAGCTTTTTTTCATTTTTTATTTTTGTAAAATTGTGCATCAAATCGTTTATTTCAATCAAGTTCTCATTTTTGGTTGTCATCAGCATTATGCATATATAAGTGTATATATTCTACATATGTATTCGGTAATTTTCACTAAACTGCATTTTTATTATGTTTATAATATTTGTAAATATTTTATTTATTTTTTTTGTAATATTTTTTAAATATCGTATCAAATATACATTTGTTTTGTATATATTTAAGGTTAGTTGTTGTTTTTATGATACCCATGGACATGTGCAGTGCACTGTGTGTTAATTTTTCATTTAAGTTGGTTTAAGAATTTCACCCAAGTGAGGTTTAACATTATCGTAAATCGGGTTTGGCTTGATTTTTTGTGAGCGTTGAGATGCTGCATAGAACTCTGGTGTTGGAGTGAATCAAATATTTGATATATGCATTGGAATATGTTTTTCATACAAATTTGGTATATTTGGTGGACATTTTCGAATATGAAATTTTTACGATATTAAACTTTATGATTGAAAACAAATTTAAATGAAATTGGAACTCACACGCAGAATTAGTCAGAGTAAGTGGTTTTAATCCAACGGTTCTAAAAATGATTTTTATAATAAAAAAAAAATAAATTGAAATTTTCGAAAGCTTCGAAAAAAAACCGTTTCGAAAAACAGCATAGTTTTGGAAAAAAGCGAAAATTTTAAATTTTGAAAAAATGCTTTCGAAAAAGTTATCATCAAAAAACCAAATGTCAGCATAAAAGTAGTAATATCATTAATTAGAAGAAAAACGCTCGTTTTCTAAAATTTTTTTTTGCATTTTAGGTTAGTTTTATGATGTTTTATGCTTTGGTATCGCGTTCAAATAATATTTCAAAATATTAAAACTAAAAATAGTTACAATGCCACAAGAAATTTCCAAGTTAAAGATAATTTTAAAGAAACTTAATAATTTCTTTTTATATTTTTTCCCCATATATTAAAAAATAATATCACTCCAACCCTTTCAGCTTAATTCATCACACCTCACACAATCTCCGATTCTTAAACTACCCGGCATTTTCAATGCCACATTTCCTTTCATTAAAATGTTCGCTCACTTGCTGTACAAAACTTTGAATACGAAGTTTTACTTCCTTAACAGTTAACTACAACATTGTTTAAACAATATTAAGAAACAGGCGGTAGAAGAAAAATAGAAAAATAGTAGTAAAGTAAAGTAACGAAAACGGTGTTTTGTTTTATATGTAGAAATGTCAAAATATAAAAACATAAAAGTCAGAAGCAAATAAGAAACAATCTTCAATTCAATTATAGTAGGAAAACCAACATATTTTTATGGAAAAATCTAAATTAATAACCATTTTTGGGCGTATTACACATTTACATTTACTACTTGGATAACTGTAGTTTAAATTATAGCTAAACCACACAAAAGTAACAGCTGCTGTGATAATTGAAGTAATATTATTAAAACAAAAAATATATATTTTCTTTAATTATCTAAAAAATCGAATATGCAACAATTTGACTTTTGGTAGTTTCAGAACGCTAAGCTAATTTTTTATTTTTGTTTATGTAATTGCAAAATTTTTCAAATTTATAATTTTTGTGCCGCTTCAGGCTTACTAATATGTAGCTTCTATAGTCTTTAAAATGTTTTAACTAAATGTTAACGGTCACAAAATGAATTTTTTTTCAGAAAAATACAATAAATCATAAATTTGGCACTGCAAATTTTTTTTAAGTAAAATTGTTGTTGGGCAAAGTGGCGTTTACTGAAAAACTTTAACTAGAACATTTATTAATCTGGCACACTACAACAAAAAATCCGCATGAGTGTGTGGGTTTTTTTTTTAGTTTGGCATTCTTTTCACTACCGTGTTTGCAAACTAGCGCAAATAGCTAATCAACATCGAACTAACAACACAACTACATACATTTTATTGCTTGACGCACTAACGTTTGTTGCATTTTCATTTTCATCTGCTTTGCAGTGCACTTTTTGCTAATATAGTAGTAGTAGTAGGTTATTTTTTATTTATTGCTTAGAATTGCTCACTTAGTTTTCCTACTGTGTTGTTGTTATAATATTTCTTTTTTTTTTTTTTGCTTTTAACGCACTATATAGTTTACCTGACTTGTTTTTTTTTTAACTTCGTTACTGAGCTTTTATATTATTATATATTTTTTTAATTAGTTAAATTCTTTGTTTATTGATCTAAAAATTTACTCTTTAATCTGTGATATTCACCTCTTGGCAGTGTAGCGCCAGTGCGTGAAAATATGGAGTCCATGTCGTTGCCCAAATCACGTGACATGCTATGACGCCATGGTGTTCCAACATTATTGCCGGAGGCGCTGTTGAGGCGGCTGGAAGATGAAAAAGAGATAAACAAAACAAAAGTTAGAAAAAGTTTGTATTTAAACTTATTTGAAATGAAAATACAAAAGTTGAGTATGAGAAGAGTTGAAATAAGTTTAATATTAGGTTAACCCAAGGAATTGTGTTAGTTCTTTGAAGGTTTACGAATAACTATTATGAGTACATTAAATGGTATTTTAAAAGTCTTTCAAAGAAAATTTAATTATAATAATACTCGTAATAAACTAAAGTAGACTGCAAACATCGTAATCGGTTAATTTATTTCGTAATTTTTAATCAAATCAAGAAACAATAGGGGATTCCAATAAATGAGGAACTACTTGGGAAGAAAAGAACGTGTGCATAATTTCAGATCTATATCTCAAAAGTGATCGATTCGAAAAAGCAAATTTCATTCGGTGAGATACCGCTGAGGACTACATATGTTTAAGCACTTAAAACTGAAAGTTTTAATAAAAAAAATACCGGAAAGAATTTTGATTCGAAAACTCTCCTAGCTTATTAACGAAAAGTCCTCTTAAATATACACATACCACTAACAAGTTCGATATATCTTCTACTGACACTGTTTTCACAATTATTAAACGTCCATTACTTCGACTACTCTGTTTTAAAAGATCTTTTGACTTGTCGTGAATTTAAAGTGTTCATGACCAGTATTTAATAAACATTTACTTAAATCACTGTATGAAAACAAACACATTTCAGGCATATACATTTTATCAACTTACAAGCAGCAATGTGATTTGAACTTGAATAAAAATCTAACTAAACGTTTAAAACTGGCAAGACCCCTTCTAAATCGTTGCTTAATCGAAATCGATCTATAGCAATTTAGAAAATAATAGAAAAAATAGATTTCATAAATTGTATCCTTCAAATAAATGTTGTAGAAGTAAAGTACAATGGTGAGATTATATGTTGAACACTAGACATGCGTAGAAACGAAGGACGAGATACTAACTCTAACAAGAATGATCGTCACATATTTGAAAAACGAGTACACAAAAATAGATATGATGGACAGCTTAGGATTTCGTCTATTTGTTTGAAAATTATTACGTTTGAGTATAGCGAAAAGGAAGTTACAAATATCGAGAATATGGTTGAAAAAACGGTCGAAAGAAATATTTTAGGAAATGATATATCGAAAAAAATAGTAAAAAAACAATCGAAAGGAAGGTTTTGAAAAATAAAATGTCGAAAAAGTAATTGAAAAAAACTAAAGAAAAATTTTGAGAAAAGAGTTGAACTCGCTGTCGAAAGAAAGGTTTTCAGATATATAATGTCGAAATTTAGCAGAAACACGGTCAAAATGAAAGCTTTATGCTTAAAATGTTGAAAAGAAAGAAATATAGAGAAGTTTCGAGAAAATAGGTTGAAAACGGTCGAAGAAAGGTTTTGAGAAAAATTGTTGAAAAGATATACATATATGGCAATAAAAAAAACTGTAGAAATACATATATGGTAATAAAACAAACTGTAGAAGGAAGGGTTAAGAAATAAAATACAAAAACTGTGGAAAAGCAGGTTTTAATTATTAAAATGTCGAAAAAAATATCGGAATAATGTGGATACTTCGCAGTTGACAATATGGATATAAAAAATAGAGCTTTACGAGATCACAAAATCAAATGTTGAAAAAAGGGTTTTAAGTTATCGATATAAAATAATCGATATGATAATAATTACGGATAGACTAGATTTGAACCTTTCGAAGGGTTTTTAAATTTCTTTTCTGTTTTGAAATTTTTATTTTCAATGTATTGTATGGAACGAAAACTCTCCATGGATTGAAAATTCAAAAAATATAATAAAAAAAATAGTTTTAAAAGTAAAATAAAAAAAATAATATGCACTGTTTTCGAGTCGAAAGTTTACTAACAAAAAGTTCGGCTTTTAAGAAAAGATAGAAACTGAGAGAACAAGAAAACGAAGTAGTGCAGTCTAAAAACTTCAAAAGCTTTGATTCTAATCTAAAATATATTCCTGATTTTAGCATACTTACACTTGTTTCTTTTCGACCGTTTCACTGTATGTATAACTCACTTGAGATCTTAGCACCAAATAGAACAATGTTTTTGGTAATGATTTTTATAAAATTTAAGAAAAATTTATGAATTTTGCGTTAATATTGTTATATTTATTTTAGTTATATAAGCAAAAACCATTTTTTTTTTGTTGCATTTTAGAGATTGGTAGTTTATTTTTTAGCCAAAGCACACGCAGCATGAAAACAAAAATAAGTATGAAAAGGTTTAATTTAATTTTCGATTCCATTATGCAAGAGAAATTAGTTATTGTAATACAAAAATTAACATAACCTTAAAATGCAACTGTCGGCGAGCTCACCTGCCAAAAGGTTCTTGATTCCAGAAAGGACCATGCCGCATATTGCTCAGCAGACGGCTTGAATTCGAAAAGCCTGCAGTTAAATCTTTATCGACATTCATACGATGTGTCAAAGCGTGCACCTAAGCGTGAACGGAGCAAAAATACAACAAAAAATATATTTAGTACATATTCAATGCGCTTAAAGCTAAAGCAAAATACTCTTTGTAGTAGTGTGGAGAAGAGATTTTCAGCGGTGAGTATTTCAAAGCCGTCATCGTCATCTTCTTCGCCGGAACTTTGTGAATCGTTCTCCTGACTAAGTTTCTTCACCGGTCTAGAGCTTCTACATTACAACGAGGAAAAGCAAAATTAAATTATTTGCAATATTTAAGTATCTCATTGGTGCGTGTGAGCCTACCTTAACCTGTGCAGCGTGAATCGTGGCACCTCATCGACTTCCCTGGTGCCGGACGAGGTGCGGAACTTCGGGAATGGCGAACTATCGTCTATGCCAGATTCGTTAAGCAATGAACTGCTACAAATAAAAAAAATGCTTAGTATTCCTATTTAGTTGACAATTTATTGCTAAACATACCCAATGCGTCGGGTTGGCCGCAGTCTATTGAAGGTCGAACGACTCGAAGCGGTATGACTAGACTCTGATGGTTCAATGCTGCCTTCGCGCGGTGTTATGAAGCCACCGCCCTCCATCGCAATCGGTATAATGAATTCGCGTGGACTCTTTTTAATCGGTTGAGATGAGCCCGTGACGGTGGATTGTGACATATTTGCCGTTGTTGTTGTATCAGATTCAGAATCATTGGTCGATTGTCGTGATAGTGAGCCAGACCTTAAAGCAAAAATGCAGTTTAGCAGGTAGGAAGTAAAGATTTAGTAGATTATCTCTCACTAACCTTGTTGTTGTATTTGACGTGGTGCGCGCATAGGGCGCTTGTGGTCGCTGTATGGGTATAATGTGCTCCTTGGGTTCGAGGCTTGTGGCGCGAGTATTCAACATCGTCTTGATGGGACTGTAGGGCGCCGGGCCTTCACGCGGTGGCGCGCTGCGCAAATCAGCGACAGGATGCTGCATTTCCGTTGTGAAACGCATATTCGGTTGTTCAACTATACGTGGCTTTATTTCTAACTGGATTTCCGTTTTGGCGCTCGGTTTACGGCGCGGCAATGTGGCTGATTTCAGTGTTATGGTAGCGGTGGATGTCTTCACGTTGTTGTTCGGCTCGCCACCTGGGGATGCTGTGCGGGTGAGTATAAAAAAATGTGATGAAAAGAATATTAGAAATAGCAGTAAAGTAAGTGTACTGTGTGCCGAAGCGACAATGTATGCGAAATGCTTGTGATTAGTTATGAATATTGAGAGAGCGACACGAAATAAGCGTATGAATGAAATGAGCGGACATAAAAATAAACTTACAAGCATGTGAGGGGATTTTAATAATAAATAAGTTACCAATAATTTTGCAGAGTGTGCCAAGGGTTGGAATATTTTTCTCTGAACCATATTGTACACAACATATAAATATACAGCAACGTGCGAAAAAGTTTTACAGAAGACAATACATGATTAAAGATTTTCTTAGAGGGCATTTATGAAGTTTCCAACATGTCAAATAAACATTTAATTATATTTCTGAAGAGATATTGTGTTGGAGTACTAACAATTCGTGAAAGAAATATGCTGATTCCGATTAAACTATACAAAATAAGGATAATTTAAAATAAGATGTTTCTTTAATTTTCCTCGCTTAAACACTTCACTTTCACAGCTAAGTAAATATTGTAAAGTAATAATTGTAGATTCTAGTAAACTCTCTCGATCTGTCATACATTGAAATTATACCTGCACATAAGAAATATATAGAAGATGAATATATAGAGATTAGTGGCTGAGAAAACTGGCAAACTAATTTAGAGAACGGAGCTTTGCCAGATATAAATCCGGAGTCTTCGAGTTCTGTAGAAATAACTATACTGGGAGTAGATTCGAAATAGCGATATTCATTATAGTTTTCTGAGCAACAGTTAATTTCCTCAAAAAACATCGAATTCAAATCAACTCACTAAATACAAAAACAAGGAAAAACGTTAAATTCGGTTGCTCGGCTAGAAGGAATTTCACATATACAAAAAATTTCTTGAAGAAACTTGATTCGGAGCGCTTAGTTTGTATGGCAGTTATACCCTATAGTGATTCGATCGGAACAATTTCTTCGAAGATTGCACCATTGCCTTAGACAATAGCCCATGCCAGATTTCGTGAAGATATCTCGTTAAATGAAAAAGTTTTTCATACAAGCATTTGATCCCGATCGTTCAGTTGCATGGCAGCTATACGCTATATTCGTCCGATTTTGGCGGTTTCGACAAATAAGCAGCTTCTTGGGCAGAATAGGACGTGTGTCAGATCGATATTTCAAAAACTTAGAGACTGGTGTATACAAACAGACAGATGGACAAACAGCTCGTCAAACTGATCATTAGATATACCATATATATATTTTATAGAGTCTCCGACGTTTTCGTTCTGTAACTCCCGGACTTCGTGGCAAACCCTATATATGTACCTTGTTCAGTGTATAAAAACAACTAGTTTCACTAAATTCAAGAGAGTATATGAATACCTCATTACCACTGATTGTTCCACTGTTTGTTTGATTCGCTACTCTCAAAGGTCTATGGAATTAAATACAGCTATAATCCAATGACGCATAAAACTTTTAAATTATTTGGCGAAGTGACAATGAAGTTGTATCTGATTTCATAGTAGATCTAGCTAGATCACTGGATACGAGCTAAAAAGTCTCCTAGAGTTAATAAGTATAGAGATTTGGGTTACAATTTGTAGCCTCCTCTATGTTAGGAAGATTTCGTGGTTTTTTTAACCGATATCTTAACTCGGTGTATGAAAGCTTTAATCATAAAAATAATAATTTGAAGTCAGATGAAAACCAATTATGGTACGTATAGTCGGCGTTCGCATATCACGTAGGAACATGAAGAGTTTAGAATTTCGTTGTGGATACTGCCGTTGTTAAATGAATCACACTACTGTAACTCTTGTATATCCAAATATATCATATGTTCGGGTACATTTTACTTTCATAAGTACTTAATGCAAATTCTCATCGACTGATTTTGGTTCTAAATAATAAAGGAATAAACGCAGAAATAAGGGGAAATACAACGAGGTAACCAAAATTGAAATTAAACTTCTTCAAAATAATTTCCAAATTACTTAAACTAGCACCAATTTTCTACGAATTCGAAATACGAGAGCAATACTAAACAGCTCGTTTCATATACCATCTGTATGTATTTACAAAATCCCGGTGTGTTTTTAGAAGCTTTGCGTTGCGAGATGTATATATATATGTATGGTTAAACAAAAAGAAGCAACGAACAGAAAAAACAACAAAAATATATATATTGTATTTAAAATAATTCTACAATTTTGGAAATCAAAAATTTCGAAAAGGAAATAACAACAACAAAAAACTGCTTAAATAGGAAAAGAACGCAAAGAAAAAAATAAAAGAGTATAAGAAAGAACGAGCGAACCAGCTAACGAGCTAAGAAACGAACGAACGGGCGAACGAACGACAACTAAACTTACATTTGTAGAATATCGAAGGAGGTGGTGCATTATAAAACGGTTTTGGCACACTATTCGCGGTGGCGGCGGTAGAGGAAATGGCGGTATTTTTGACGTTGGCGGCAGTGGCAGTGGCAGATGCGGCAAGTGTGTGTGGCATTGACATGCTGTGAGCTTGTTTATTTTGAAATTGTTGCAATAATGGTTGGGAAAATGCTTGTTTTTGGTACTGTTGATGTTGTCGTTGTTGTTGTTGTTGTAATTCAAATTGTTTTTGCTGTTCTATTAGCACTTGATGATGTCTCTGTCTTTGTTGTTGTAATTGTTGTAGTCTTTGTTGGAATTGCAAGAGTTGATTTTGTGTTGAATGCGGCAAAGAATTACTAGCTTGATATTGACTAGGCTGTGCTTGTGCTTGTCTTTGTTGCTGTTGTTGTTGTGAATAGTGATTGTGTTCTTGTGGCTGTTGTTGGTAGTGGAGGTGTTGGATATTCGCATTATTGCTGTTATATAGGGGTGAGGGAGTGAAGGGGGGTGATTGTACGAAATAGTTGGACGGTGAAAACTCGCTTTGAAACTCATTCTGACCACCAACCGTAGTAGCTGCTAAACGACCCATTAAATGCTGCCGTGCAGCGGCGAGGGCAACGTTTGCATTTACATTCGCGTTCGATTTTGAATTTGCCTTCGCATTTGTATTTGCTTTCGATGTCAACAGAGGCGGCGGTGTCTGAGGAGCGGCGCTCTTATTATTCGCCAACATTTGCGGCAGTGCTGCATGGCTGCCAACGACGCCGCAGCCAAAGCCACCGGCGCTTCCGCCGCCAAATGGAGCGTGGACGCCCAAGGAGCCACAGCCGCTGTCGCCACCCAAGCCGTTCATGCTGCCGCTGCCGCTGCCACTGCTGCCAAAACCAATAAAACCGCCACTGGCTGCACGCATTTGACCGTAGCCCCCGCCGCCGTTGCCAAAGGATGGTTGTGATGGTGGCCTGCGTATAACTAAAATAGATGAACCATTGATGAGATGATGCAAATGAACGTACGTGCTGTATGTATACGGTCCTTATGTATGTATGTGTTTGTGTGAGTGTGGGTGTGCGACGGTCGTTTTGAAATTATACTCGCATATATGTATGTATGTTATGTGTGTATATGTTTTTGTGAGATGTATGGAATTACTTCAAATTGATGAATAAATGCAAAATGAAACCACTACAAATGATTTTTTATGTCGAAAGAGACGAATTCGTATGATTTGTGGGCCAAAATCTTGCTTGCAGATTTTTTATAAATTTTAAAATATATTTTTGAGTCGAGTTTACCAATTTTTCGTCAAAAAATTAATTTTTCGGTAGATTTAAAATGCAGTTCGCAGAAGAAAAATACAGGAGTTCTAGGCAAAATTGTTTCAGAAAAATAATTCGACCTTAATTATGGGTGATTTAGGTGTAAAATGTACCCAAAATATTTTTGTATAATTATCGTTCTTCATCTTACGGGGTTAGGCCAGTCAAGACTTACGAAATAAACTAATTTTTTCAAACTGTTTTTTCTATAAACTGCATTTTTTTAATCGACCGACGGTGGTAATTGAAGACAGCCACAAAAATCCACTGCGAAATACAAAATATGACTTCGCAGCAACACTATCTAGTAAACTGCGTACGATTTTTTTGTTACCGAATCTATGTATGCTGTAGTGATTCGATGTCGGTGTTTCCCGAGCAGCTTCTTGGGGAGATAAGAACTGGTGCAAAATTTTAGATCGTTTTCTTAAAAACTGAGAGACTAGTCCGCGTATGTACAGATAGACGGACATGGCTAAATCGACTCAGCCCGACCTTTACCTTTTTTTTACTAGTACGCCATTTTCCCAAAACTTGACGTTAAGTCAAAAATAAGTGAATAATATACGAGTATATACCATATATAGATGATAATTTTTTGTACTGAATATATATTATATAATAGATGTCTAATAACACCTAACACATATATTCGATTCCTTTTTACTGACTCTTGAAATAAATATATAATTTAGGCCTATTTTGAGAACTGTAGGGTGAGCAAATCCCTTAAGGATTTCTAACTTCTTTCTTAATTTTGTTTAAGATAGAAAGATTAGTGTAGATTCCATTAAAATTCGATTTAAGTTCCTCACTCGGGATACATTTTATATTGGTTGTATGCATTAATTCGAGCGGTTTTCTAAGAGAGGGCTCTACTAGTATTATCTCGCGTCGTGTTCATCTGTGGCTATATTCATTTCAAAGGTACTGTCATTTCGCGTCGTTTTCAGTAGATGTCATTTGTTTTAGCGTGAACAGCAATTTGTTTCATTCATTTGAAAATGTCGAAATTTCTACCAGATAAAGTGTTTTTGCGGGGAGTTCTTCTTCATTACTTTAACATGAAGAAAAGTGCTACCGAAAGCCATCGTATTTTACTGGACGTTTATGGTGACCATGCTTTAGCCGAACGAACATGCCAAAAATGGTTTGCACGGTTTAAAAGACGCAAGAAGAACTTGCAAAAGTATTAGGAGTTGATCCAGCAACCGTTTCTAGACGATTAAAATAATTAGGATTCTTCCAGAAGATTGGAAATTGGGTGCCTTATGAATTAAAGCCAAGAGACGTCGAGCGTCGATTCTGCATGTCGGAAATGTTGCTTCAACGCCACCAAAAGAAGTAATTTTGAAAACAATTAATTCGTTTGAAAAAGGCCATCGCGGAATAACGACCAAAATATGCGACCAGATACGAATCAATAATTTTTCATCATGACAGCGCTCGGCCACATGTTGCAAGGCCAGTTAAAAACTATTTGGAAAACTGTGGGTGGAAAGTTCTACCTCACCCGCCTTATAGGCCAGACATAGCACCTTCCGATTACCACTTGTTAAGATCAATGCAGAATGCCCTCACCGGAGTACGCTTCACTTCAGAAAAGGGTATCAGAAGTTGGCTCGATTCTTTCTTGACCTCCAAGCCGGAGAAGTTTTTTTGGGATGGGATCCACAAACTGCCAGAAAAATGGGCAAACATCGTAGCTTCCGATGGGCAATACTTTGAACATTAAATGTATAACAATTTTTTCACAACCGCACGAATTAATGCATAATAATGATTCCTCTTCGAAAAAGTTAAGTTTCAGCAAGAGGAGAGAAATTAATTAAATTCTAGGTTATGTTAATAAGACAAATTAATAGCAAGGTAAGCGGAAGGACAGTTCAAGGAACGTTTTAGTAAAGCCATCCGTCTGTACGTCTCGCGCTTCTCAATGAAATAAAAACTTATCACATCGAGGTTGGTGTGGTTGTTATCTAACGGTTTATGGTCTGAGAAAGTTCAAATGCATGCTAAACAATTTAAGTTTAACTTTCAATTTGAGACAACTTGTAATTAACTTTTGACCAATTTTGGTTAGAACTCCCATATAATTATTTAAAGCAATTTACTGGCAAGCATTTGAAGTAGTCTCCTACTGCATAACTTTTTTAAATTTTGTTTTATTAACACATTCCGGCATTAGCATTACTTATTACTGTTTGAGTTACTACAATATCTTTAGCAGCGTTCACTTCGCACTTACCTGGCTGTATGGCATTTCCGATGATGGCGCGCGCATTTTTTAACTTCCGCTCGCGTTCAGCTATCACTATTGGACTGCTGGCCTCGCTGACTTCGATATTCTCTGTTTGCGCGCACAGCTGATCCACCTCTTTCGAGGATTCGCTTTGCGCCTGGCGGAGCAATGCAATTGAGTTCTCCATGGAGCGACGCGCATCTTCTAGAGACAACGAAGCGACGGAGTTCTTTGAATCGCTTGCCTCAATATGACCTGTGGGCTGCTGCGCGCTGTCGGCTGTTGGCGATTGAACTTCTCCCTCCAATTCTTGGGCGGCAGCGGCCGCAGCCGCAACCTCCTCCATTGCACGTAACTCACCCGGAGTAGGCCCTTGCTGTACTGGCGGATTTGTGGCTTTACGTTCAAATTCTTTCTTGAAGCTGCCAACGCTCACGCCGGGTATGCTAAACTTCTTCGGTTTCTCACTGCCTCCACCGGTAGAGTTGACGGTGTTCATTTGCTGTAACTTTTCGGTGGTTTCAAGCACACGTGACTTTCGTCGGTCGGCGTTAAATTTACTCAAGGAACCTTCATCCTGTAAACTGCATTTGCGCACGAAGGGCGCTGGAGTGGCGTTATTAGCGACTGCCGCACCGGTTGCTGGTTTGACAATTGCGCCTTTGGCATTACTAGTTGTTGTTGTAGCCAATGTGGGCGTAGACTGCTCGTTGATTTTCTCAGCTGTCGGTGTTATCTGACCGATGGCGTTGACCAGATCAGCAGTTTTGCGCTTATTGACGAATTTTTTAATAACTTTGGTTGCGTCCTTTTCCTCGGGCGCCTCTTCTAGCGACTCTAGCTTGCTGATCGTTTTTTGACGCGGCAGTCCGCCGTGTGTAGGTGTCACAGAGGTGTTAACTTCAGTCAGTGGTGCAGCGATCGCCGATTTCGACTCGTCCTTAATCAATTGTTCGCATAGATCACCCACCTTTTCCATATCTCTTTGGGAAAAGCTGCTTGATGGCATTTTATTAGCTCCGGCCGATGTAATTAGCTCCTCGTCAATATCTTGCTCGGCCGCCTCATCTTCCTCCGTCTCCATGGGTATTTCTTGCGATAATGGCACGTTGGACTCTCCGAGTACCATTGAACTGCTGCCGAGTTTATCCTTCTTTTTGAGCGCCGCACCGTGTGCGTTCTCCGTGGAGACTGTAGTCTCGAGTTTACGTTTACTCTGCACTGGGCTCTGCGTAGGTGTGATTGTGCGTGTTGGTGATGGCATGAGTGCTGCCTCGCCGCCAGCTAGAGTGGTAGAGAGATATGTGGAAAAAGAGAGAGAAGAGGAGGTGCGATGAATTATGGGTTATTACATGATGGAAATACAAGTTTAGTCCACTTGAATGTGTATATGAGCAGAGGTCAACGTAAACATTTGTAGTTTTTAGTAATATAGAGTATATATGTATGTAAAAGTTTGGTTCGGAGAAGCGCATAAATGATAGTGAACCGTTTAGTTGAGACACATGAAAGGTAGGAAAAGACAGTTATCAGCTATTTACAGACAATGGGAAACTGCTACTACTTAAAACATACACACATACAAATAGATTTTAGCAAAATGTGGAAGCTCCAAATAAATTTTCGAGCGCTAAGCTTGTAAAAGTCCCCAAATTAGGGTAAATGTATTCAAACAAGTAGTTTTCATACGTTTTATAAACTCTGCTTGACTCTCTAAATTGAATTTGTGCTTATACATTTAATCGTTAGTATCAACATACCAGCTACCATGTCCAATATTCTGCGTTCCGCTTCCGTATTGCCGCCCATATCACGGATCGATCCCACCGAGTGACTTCGTGGCACACGATCTCCTTTACCCGCATCAGCGGATGGCACAACCAATTGATCGGCCGTCACAGCGGCCGGTGTCAATGACAACAACACATCCAAACGTACCGGTGTTTGTGTTGCTAGCTCTTCAGCCAAGTCCAGACATGAGACGTTATCATTTTCATTGACCCACCAATGGGCGCAGATCTGTTCGATGGTGGCACGTTTGCGCGGACTCACAGTCAACATGTCACGTATGAGCGTTGAGGCACGCGATGGTTTCTTTGGCTCATAGTAATCACCTTGACTGATTTGTTTAACAAGTCTTTTAAAGTTGGAACCATCAAATGGCATTGATCCATAGACTAGAGTGTAGAGGAGAACACCAAGGGACCAGCAGTCGACTTCTGGACCTTGGTAGGGAGTACCTTCAACAATTTCGGGGGAGGCGTAAAGCGGCGAGCCGCAAAATGTGGATAGTAAGTTTTGTTCATCGAACACATTCGAGAGACCAAAATCGGCGATCTAAAAATGTAAATTAAATGTTTTGGAAACATGAGAGAGTGGGGTTAAGTTGCGATCGCTAACCTTCGCATTGCCATGCTCATCGAGCAGTATATTTTCCAGCTTCAAATCGCGGTGACAAATTTTGTGCTTATGACAATAGTATACAGCCGTAGCCACCTGGCGGAATATGCGTCGCGCCTCTTCTTCATTTAGCACCTTACGTTCCGAGAGATAGTCATACAGTTCACCGCCTGCGGCGAATTCCATAACTAACACCATCTTCTCACGGTTCTCGAATACTGCAAAATAAAATAAATATGTATATGTTTTATGTCATACGTTACGTTATGTTAACGAACTCCATGAGAAGATTAGGTTGTAGTAAAAAGAGCTTATTTATTAAAGAACGTAAACGAAATATATCAATATATCGACATACTGTAAACCGATTCACCCCATGCGTGATTCCATGCTGATCTATAACTAATAATTATTACGTCTATAAACAGGCTAATTTTTATTTATAGGGTAGTTCAGGTAAAGGTCCATAGCATCGGAAATCATTATGCGGTTTAGACCAAGAGCTAGATCGATTTCGTTGATTTTCAGCGTTAAACTACATTATGTGTCCACTTAATTTCTTTATTGACCAATATAAACGGTTAAAAAATAACTATCTCATACCGGGTGTATTGTGGCTAAGGAATGATCTCGACCACGCAATTTTAAGAAGATAACTTACACATTGATCGTTATATTTGGCATAAAGTCTACTTGAATAACGAAAACCATTGTATGATGTAGGGACTGCGGTAATTCGAGAAACGATTCCACATATTTTTGATATTAAACTGCATTGTATCCAATAATATACGTTCACTTAATTGTCTTAAGATATCTTAGGTATCTCATATTAGATATGGCAACTAGAGGTAGTGTTGACCCGATTTTAACAATTTTAGGCATTATGACATCGTATTATTATGGTAACGTTACCAGAAAAGCATGAATTTGAGTTCCATTAAGACATCCCACAGAGTGGGTATATACGGTATAAAGCCAACCGGAGTTTTGATAACCCTTACATTAGCTGTATAGGGACTAGGGGAATGACACGATTTTATCTATTTTTCACACGAGGAAAAGATTATTTTTGAATTTCTATAATATATCTCACAGATTGTCTGATATTTCCGGTACAAGCGTACTTTTTAAAAAGTTTCAAATCGCAGAGTTCGCTTTATACTTCGATTTCCGGAACCAAATTACACTTTTGTATCTTTATTTATTGCTTTGTTAAAGTTTTCATCTAAACGGCATTTTGAGGCGTGGTATTGCTCCGATTCCGCCCATATGCAGTACTGCAACCTTCTTACCAACCAAAAAACACGAGTACCAATTTTCATTAAAAAATCTTAATTTTTACTTAAGTTATCGCTTGCACGGTCGGTTGCCCGGATTTCAACTCGTCTCGCCATCTTGATCACTTATATATATTAATTTCGATATTTTTAGTTGTTACAAACAACTCTTTCGTTTATTTTGTATAAATTATGAAATCAAAACTTCACTTACCTTCATAAATGTGTATGATATTGGGATGCTGCACTGAGCTCATAATTTGCACCTCCCGACGAATACGCACCAAATCCGCCTCAGCTTCTATTTTGCACTTTTTTATGGTTTTTATTGCCACCTCCTGGCCGGTTTCCTTATTTATACCTAATTGCACTTTGCCATATGTGCCCTGACCTAATTTTTTAATAATATCGAATCTAAGGGGAAACAAGGGTGCGTTAATGGGTTTTTAAAGACAAGAAAATCAATTCAAAATTCCAAAAGCTCTCGTCACCGTCGAACTCACCTCTGACGCAGCTTCTTTCGGTGGTTATTCATTTTCACATCGCCCGTATTTGCTATACCGCTCATTATATTATCGATTCTATCACGTGGTATACCCGATGGATGTGCCAAGTCAACCGCTTCGCCAGCAGTATTGTTGGTAGCGGCGGCGGCGGCCAGTGCATCCGGATTGCTTATCACCATTTTTGAGCTTTATATGTGGAGTGCGCTGTAAAGAGAAATGCAAACGAGAAAGAGAAACACATAAATATACTAATCAATAATACTTATTTAATAAAATATAAAATACTTTTAATGCAGACAGCTAAGTTGTAGATAATTTATAGCAAAACCCCATATAAAATAGTAGGCAAAGCAAAAACTGAGTTTAAAGTGGAATGGTGCACGTACACACTCCCAAAAACAGCAACGCCAGCCACAGTAGGATGAGATGGTGGCATGCGTAGAAAGTACAATTTGCTCCACATTCGAAAGGATATCAGTTACAGTAATATATGGATGTATTTGTTATTGTTGGATTATATATATGTAAGTGTGCATGCTTACAGCTGCATAAAGATGTATGTGCCTCATTTTGCAATGAGTTATTGAGCTCATTATGGCAACTTTATTGCCCCAAAGCAGTGCAAAGTATGGCATTTGAAAAGCATTCAGCGGAACAAGCGGTGACAAGCTTGCCAAGTGTGCCAGGAAGCTTTAGTCACTCTGTCTAAATCATAACTCTGCAGCATACGCAGGTTATAAATTGAAAAGCAAAAGCATGTAATGTACTAGGTTGTAGTATGTTTAGTAGACATACGTAAAATGTATTAAGGGTGTTCTTTTTTTAATATTTTATTTTTTTCAGTACTTGTTTTATTTTTCTGTGGTGTATAACATACTTCAGACTCTTTCATAGCTATAGCTTTTAGCTATAGAGTAAGGACATATACAAAATTTTAGATCGATATCTGCAAAACTGATGGACTAGTTTACGGATAGTCATACGAACGAACAGATGGGCATGGTTAAATCGACTCAGCTTAGCACGCTGATCATCTATATATGTACATACGAGTATATGTATACCTTATAGGGTTTCCGACATTTCCATCTAGGTGTTACAAACTTCATGTCAAACTTAATATACCCTGTTATTTAATGCAATAATTTGAGACTTCACAATTTATTTCCACTATGAGTTTTATATAACTGTATATTCGTTCATTTCAATAACTTTTTCGAGCACTTCGCATAATAACGCGATGATTTCAGCACAAATATTTTACTTGATCTTCAGTCAGGGGAATTAGAATGTATAGATCTGAATGGCCAGTAAATATCTTATCGTTTAATCACCACACATTCAGCGATTTCTTGTTGGAGAAAGTCTTGACGAGATCAGTAATCTTTTCCAAATTTCGCTTCTAGAAATCCGGTTCAGCGTTAGCACTTTGTTCGATTTCTTGGCAGTTTTCCAATGTGGTGCGACTTTCTGCAAATAGAGCCTTCAAGTTATTTCATCTTACGCCAAAAAATTGTTGAAATCGGACTATAACTTTTCAGGAATACAGACACTAAATATATAGACCCCAGAACATATGCTAGTATATAACATCAGGGTGAATACATGTGCATGTGCCGAAAATGGTTAAAATAGGGTCAATACTTTTCTTAGCTCCCATATACCTAATAAAAATATATATGAACTTCCTTTTGACCTTATATCGCATCTATCGGTCAATATGTAAGAAACCTTAATGAAATTTAGAAAGAATCTCATTCTAACACAGTGTATGCTCTTGCTTAAATGGATGAAATCAGGGCAATACTTCTCTTTGGCTCCATATACCTAATACACGGATTTTCAAATATCCGCTTGACTTTACACACTATATATATTGGTAAATCTATGTGGTTTCTTAATGAAATTCAGAGAGTCTCTATACTTCGGTATTAACTATTTCAAATTGGACAAAACAAATGGTGTCGAATAGTTAGAAGATCGCTTTAGTTGACACCTACATACAAGTACATATGTTGAATCATAAAATCGGAATTTGAAAAAAATGTGATTTTATTTAAAATTGTACGAATTTTTTAGTATTTTTTATTTGCTTTGAGTAAGAAGCATAATTTATAAAAGCTTTGTTATATGGCTATATATCTAGGTACCATTTGATCAAAAACTCACACAAAAAACAACACGTTCACGTATTTTAATACAAATCTTTGTAATCATCTTCAAAATAGGCTCCTGAGCCACTAAAAGCCATTTAACTTTTTCGATGCTATCGTCATTAAGAGATGGATGGACAACTCGCATGAAGCAAGTTTTCGGTGGCATCACGGCCTTCCCCGAAAGCTTTGTGTCACTCAAATACCGTTTACCGTTAGTGTTCGCGATAAAATAAACTCCCCGAAACATTTTTCAACGTTTCCGTAGCCCCGATTCAATGGAACACAGAAAATTTCAAGCAAACTTATTTTAGTTTTTCCTATGATAAAAATTGCCAAACGACCTTTTCACGTTGTAAACAAAGAGCTACACACTAATGGACATATGCATGTAGTTCAAGCTTCACACGAACATAAAAACTTTGCGCGCGCAGTATCAAAAAATATGGGTCAAATGTGATCGGATGGTATCTACTTATAACGAAGCTAATTTCTTACTAGTTTTTCTTCCTTTAGTTGCCGAGTCTTTTTGGTTTCTAATACAAGTTAGTTAATACAATAATGTGAAATGTAATATTAATTGTCATACAATAATCAGTTCTAAATACATTCTATGGAGCGCAATAGTAATGCACTACTAAAAACCCACAATTTATTCATTTGTAGACCATATTTGAACCACCAGTTGAAAGCAAATTCAATTAAAATGCATCGCATTATGTAAGATTGCAATCAATTGCTCTTAATGGCAAACAAACTCGCAACATTTTCCGGCTAGAAGGAGTCCATACACCAAGTAGTACTAACGATGCGATGTATTGTTTGTAAATAAGACCCTACATGTGCTGATGTGCGAAAATATGTTGGCATAAAAGTGAATATAAGCAAGTGCATGATTAATTTAAAGTATTTTGTAGTTTCAATTTGCTAATTTGCAGCCATAAACAAACGCTTACATACATAGTTATATTATATGTGTGTGCCGGCTGCCTGGCTCGCTTGCTGCACTTTTCCAAGCGTTCAAATGAAAATCACTTAAAAGACACTCTGGCACGCACTCGAGATTATTGCTGTGTGCAAGCAAGCAGCTAACGGTAAATCTTGAGTGCAATGAAAAAAAAAACCAAACATGTGTTGCAAGTGGCAAGTGCGAGGAAACACAAGAAAGCATATGTGTGGGCATGCATATAAAAGTATAGATATGTATTTACTTAAGCCGAACTTTGTATGTACCATAAGTACGCATATGTGGTGGCATAAGCGTGCGCATAAGCACACATAAGTAATGTTCGAAGGGAAAATCATGCGGTAATAGTAATGAGTTGCAGATGCACTTGATGGACACAAATGCAGAACAATAAGCAGAGCGACGAGAGTGGATGATCGCATTGTGCCATACACACACACACTTTAGCCAATGCATAGGTGAGTAACAGGTGCATGTGTGCGTGTATGCTAGTGTTTGTGGCGAAAAATCACGCAAGCTGGAGCAGGAATACCTGGTAAGCCGCAAGCATCTGTAGATTCGCCTGTGCTTAGCAAATTTAAGTGAGCACTTAACGGTGCAATTCATATGTGTGGCGGGAGCGAGTGGGCGGTGTAGCGGGCGTGGCGGCAGACAACTGCCGAGATGAGCGAGTATGGCGATTTACAAGTGAATGAGAGCAGCGAAATGCATGCACAAACGAATATGTGTCGGAAAACACACACACACGAATGCTAGATAATTACCATGCATATGTGCGTGTCAACGCCGGCTGATGGCAACTACTGATCCGTAGAATGCACACAGCAGCAAAGACAAAGACAAGCGTGCAAAGAACGCAAAAACAGCAGCAACAAATGCAACAACATGGCGATAAGTATCAGATTGCTAAAGATAGCAGCAATGACAATAGCAACAACCAACCAACAACAACAATAATATTCATGAAGCACAACAACCCCAGCGACAGACAACGACGGCAATCTGCTGTTGCTCCTGAGTGACGGCACGCGCCATGAAACAATAAGTATAAAATAACTAAAACTAGGGTGGGGCCGACGACGGGCGGAATCAAATAATAGTATCACTTTGTTTGTTCAGAAATTATAAATGAGTATTGAATATTTCTAAATTATACAATAGTTATTGTTAAAAAAGATTTATTAAAATCACAAAAAAATTATAAATAAAGTAGTTACCAAAAGTACACGTTCATTTCATTTTCTAAATATTGGTCAGTTAAGTAGCAAAAAAATTTTTTATGACCATTAAGTGAGACCTTAAACATTCTTCTATTAGAGTCTAAATTACTTATGGATTATTTTCGAGATTTTAAAATTTTTCTGCCAATGCTTAAATACTACCCTAATAAAGCTGTGTCGAAAAAGGTATTTGCACTCAACAGATCGAAGCAATAGCACCTCAATAAGGGAGAGGGTACTATCAACGAGTTATTCGATGTCAATTGTTTCCAGTTTCGCCTTATCTAAAGAATTATAATAGAAGTTGGCTGCGGTAGTATGAAAATGCAAGAAATAGTACTTTTCTGAAAATTTATTTTCAACAACAGCATAGAACAAGATCCAATTGAAGATATACATAAATGAACAGGGTTTATTAAACTTGACAAGAAATTTGTAATACCCGGAAGTAAACGTCGAACCCCCTATAAAATATATGTATTGTATATAAATATAAGTGATCAGCGTGATCAGTTTAATCGATTTAGCCAAGTCTGTCTGTATATACACGAACTCTTTTGAGATATCAATCTGTAATTTTACACACGCAAAGTTCCCCAACAAATTGCTTAGATCAGACCACGATAGCATATAACTGACGGATCAAAATACAGTTTTTAATTTGTGAATGGTAATCTAGCTTCGGTGCAACCCAAATTAACGACCTTTCTTGTTTTTAAACATACTATTGCAATTTATTAATCTTGCCATACATTTTTAATGAAATTTGTTAACTGCTAGCAACCCTTTCACAAAAAATGTTCATATTAAATATTTCTGCGTTTATTCTGAAGCTATCTCACAGTACCCGATAAAATAGCCGAG